TACGTCAATACTACCGAAAAGTTGCAACTTCACTACAATCGGTCGTAATTAATTACCTCAATGCGGCAACACCACTAGTCAGAATCACGTAATTTTAATTGCATTATGGAATCTGATTGAAATTCCCTATATTTTTTAATATAAAAACATTAAGGATAGCAAGTATATAATGAAGTTATAAATTAATGATCAATCCCCTATACTTGTTTTGCGCTGTTAGTAAATTAAAGTCAACCATTTTCTTTTCACCGATTAAGAATTGACTTAACACAAATAGAATATAAATTGGTTCACTTTATTGTAAATTCAAAACAACTATTGACCAAATTGTATAACAAAACCCATTTTCGAGGTGAGAATTATCTATGAGAAAAACAATTCAATTTTTATGAATACATTGAAGTCTTATAATTATCACTAAACGCTGATATGTACTGTTGTATAATAGGTTTGTCTTTAATAGGAACTGTTTTTCAAGCATCCTAAATCTCCATCACATATTCATTAGATGCAATTCATCATCTGTCATGTCTGAAATCATGCCAAACATTTTTTTGTCACAAAATTCAAAAACTTCTTCAAACTTCACCGTTTTTGATAATGGACTGATCTTTATCTCTCCTGCTTCTAAGCTTCTTACATTTGTTCCTAGTATTTTATTAAATTTGATTCCCTGCTCTAGAACGAAATTCTTAATTATACTTAATGTCTTTTCACAATCATCGATATTTTCAGTTACAATTAAGTATTTTTCTTTATTTTTTGTTATGAAAAACAAAGTCCACTTGTCATTACAGTTTGTTAGCACGATCAATACATCTAATGCAACATCTGCATTTGCAATAAGTAATTCTCCTTTAGCCTGAGATTCTTCTGATTCTAATTCTTGGAGTGGTTTTTTTTGTTTCTATATAGACACATCCTATTTTATCTGGGCAAATACTAATATCAAATCTAGTGTTCCGAACCGGATCAAAAATCACGGATTGATCCGGGATTGAACCGAAATTGATCCAATCCCCGGATTCAGATCAAATTCGGCCAATCCGGGGATTATCAAAAAAAATTTTTTCTTAAGCACGCAACTTGCTTATTCTAGCTAAATCTATTTTTTATTTTGAATTTATATTCTAGCCACATAAACGAACTAACAAATACACTTTGTAAGAATACCACACTGAAAGATTTGAATCTTAGCGGTATTAATCTTGGATCAGAAGCAGAAAAAGCATAAGCTGATGTACTTTGCAAGAATATCTCCTTAACGTCTTTAAATCTTTCTTTGAATTATCTTGGATCTGAAGGAGGAAAAGCATTAGCTAATACACTTTGCAAGAACTCCTTAACAAAGATCTCAATAATAATCTTGGATCCGAAGGAGGAAAAGCATTAGCTGTTGCATTTTACAAGAACACCTTTTTAACAACGTTAAATCTCGGTAGTAACGTTCTTGGATCAGAAGAAAGAAAAGCATATATTGGAATATATTTTGTTCTTATGTACGTTGGATTTTAGTTTGATTGTTCTAACCGGTTTTTTGGTAAGTTGAATTAGGCTATTCTAGTTGGGATACACTTGGTACGAATTAGATTCAATTTATTTGTTTTAACTAGCTGTTCTTTGGCATATCGAATTAGATTTAGGATTAGTATTCTAGTTGATATATTGAATTATTATTCAATGGCAGAGTATTTTACTGTGTTAAATTAAGTAATTAGGTTAGATTCAATTTGATGATCCCAACCGTGGCATTTGTAATGCTGAATATACTCATTCCAGCCGGGTCAATTTGGTGTGTTCAATTATGTTCAATTTGATTATTCCGAATCAGGTCGTTTTGGTAAGGTGAAATTTGATTTTTGATATGTTGAATTAGGTTCAATTTGATAACAGTTACACGATTTGTCACACAGATCACAGGTGTAAATTTTTTACTGTAAAATTTTAGTGATCGACATTCATATTGTCACGGGCAGAATAAACCGTAATCAACTAAAAACATGACCCAAATGACGATCGGGTCCCAGATCGGTGAACGATCTGCGATTATGGTGCCCCGGGTTTTGGCATTCAAGATCGACCCAAAATTGGGTGAAACCCGCATATTCGGGCCCCCATACAATCGTACG